CATTTCAGCTGCGTTTTTACCTTTATTATTTCTTGAAATAATAAAGCATAATACAACAAAAATGTTGTGTATCTTCTTTCACCTTCAGTATTAAAGTGGCTGCACAAAAATTCATCCATTTTGATTTTTTTTAAAAAAATGCATGCTGGTAGGACAGCTGTCACAATACAATCTAACAAAACTGTTTTGAATGAAGTTAAAGACAACTAAGCACTGTTAGAGCCATCGTATGGGAAAAACTAAACAAACTTTTTGGCCAACCCAACAGTTGACTGCCTGAACAGTAAACATGCATTACCTACACTTCCTAAGCAGCCCAAACATCCCACACCTGAAAGACTTAACAATGTCTATATAATTGGAGCCAATAGTATAATGTTCAGTATTTTTGTTTTTTTTTTTTACACATTAGGGAATGAATTGTTTTCTCCTTTTCTCATCTGCTGTTAGTCCAAATTTCCTTCACTGTTTTAAATAACTGAATCTGGGCTTAATACTTAAAAACACTGAGGGCAGAGAAATTAATAAATTTCTGTTCTAGTACCACTATAGTGATGTGGAACCAAGGCACAAATGAGAGAAAGCGGTCAAGTCATGTAAACTAGAGATGGTTTCCCTTTGAGAGAAGCCTATGAAATACACTTTCTAGATCAGTAACTATGTACACCAAAATCACATGCAGTGGTGGCTACAGCTGGAGATTATAGAGTCCAACCCCTGACCTGCTGATGCCACTGTCCAGTGGTTGCTCAGGTATCTTATGTTTATCTGGCTCTCCGGCTGCTTTGTGGGACCTCAAAGTCTACGGACTACTTACCCTGTTTTAAACATGAACCAGTTGCTGAGGAATCTCAAGCTGGTGTTCAAAATGTTCTTACGGCACTAACTGAATGGCGCAGTGACTGATGAAACTACGTGTGCGTGACACTCTCTTCTTTCCTCCCCGTAGAGCTGTGCAGACGCTCAATGCGAATGCACGTTCTTACATGGAGAGAAACACTTTGCGGTCACTATTGCGGACAATGTCATTGTGTCTAACTATACAGCTTCCTCACAAAATGTCAAATGCAGGGAGAACTCAAGAGTCTTTGCTTCATTCTTCTAAGCATCTTCAACAGTGGCATTTCCCCTTGCGAAACTGGGCCACCCAGCACTGCTAGGAGAACAGCAGCTGCGCACGTGGAAAAATAAGATGATGGGAAGCCTGACTCTCCCGGGACCCCAGTTCAGAACTTCTTTTGCTCACCATTTTGACGAGCTTCTTTATTTTTAATATTTATTTAGAGGAAGAAAAAGGGTTACAGGTAGTTCATTGACAACAGCAAGAAGTGACGGAAGGAAGAGGATATAAGAAACCTTAAAAAGTTAACACAAGAACATAGGAGGACAGTGGTGGGGGAGGATTTGGTATAGAAGCGAGACTCCTTCCAGCCCAGGGTGTCCCCAAGGGTATGAGTCACTCTGTTACAGAGTACAGCAACCCGCAGGCATACATGAACTTCTGGGTGTATTAACAGCAAAGGTTATGGTTTGAAATATATTCTGGAAACATTTTTAATTAAAATACTTAAAAATTGAACCTCACAGTTTTAAGAGGTACACTCTCTTCTATGTGCGAAACATGGCCACCTAAAAAAGTCTTATTTCAGGTGGCTGCAGATGCCCGAAGCCTCCTTGCGATGGGGCATCAGCGCTGCTTTAAAATGTGCCTTTTCCTGTGGAACTACAGATGGTTAAAATCTCAACTGCCACCAAGTTATGTCACCCACTACTCCACGTACTGTATTTTCTGTAAGAGGTATGTACTGTATTCCCATCAGTATGAAGGACATTTGATCACGAAATGCTTGGTACAGAAATAAGGGTCCCAAAAAATTAAGTAGAAGACAGTGGAAATGCCACACATGTCTTGTCTTTAATCCCATCGGAGCAGTTGCCATAGGAACGCTTGTGTAGGTCTGGCCCTGTTTACTGAAAGCAGATGCTGCATCTCTGCTTCCGGTCTAGAGCATGGTAGAGGTATATATATATAGAAGACGGCTGGCTCTCCAGGGTCATGGGCACTGACCAGGCAACTCTCCCTATTTCTGGCAAAAGGGAAACACTCTAATATTTCAGAATGAAGAATGGTGTGTAATTGATACCTTCCAGTAAGAAAACTAGGATTTCAATAGCTTAATATTGAAGACGGATTTTTTCCCCCTTGAAAAACATCTTAATATCGCAATATTTCTTTTTGAGAACTTGGCAAAGGAACACGCTCAAGATGCCGTCAGGCAGCTGGGTTCCTTGCAGCCGTTGTCTGACTGAAATACTTTATCTGGGTCACTTGTCTGAATGAAATACTTAAATCTGGGTTTGCCACAAACGAGCTTGCCACAAGGTGACCAAGCCTAAGAGGTGACTGTATTTTTCTGGTCGTTACACTCTGCTAAGTAAACAAGATGTCCAAGGTGCTTTGTGGCAATCCTTAGAAATACAGTTGTTATTCAAAATCCCCTTCTGGGAATCCAGAGGTGGAAGAAGTCAGCTCTTTCCTGGGCACCACGGTCCTGGGCCAGGCAGCTGGGGCCCGACCTGTGTTGCCTCGGGCGGTCTGAGGGCGGCAGGGCTGCACGGCTGGCTTCCCAGCAATCTCAGGAGACCCCTGCAGTTCTAAGGTAGCGTGTGGCCCGGGGACAATTTGGCCAGACAGCTGTGCGGTGCCCAATAGCTATAAAAGGGAGATATTAAACGCCTTCTGTCAAATCACACACCCTTTGGAATAATAATCTGTGTCTTCTGGTCTGAATATCCCCAGTCAATTACCCCATCTCGTTATAATTTGTATTAGGTTAAAAAGGAAACACACACAGAGAAGTCCACTTTAACCTGAAATAATTTTGTTGATAACTGGATTACTTTCAGTGGGACATTTGCTTTAAATCACAGAATTCTCCATCTGGATTATCAAGAGTACAAAATCCCTTCTCCCTCCCTCCCCCCCATCCAAAATGAACAAACAAACAAAACCCCAAACCCACAACTCAGTTTCAAATAAGTTTTAAAGAAATGAGACTCTAAATATTTACATATGGATCAAGAAATAAATCACAAAATTATTTACAAAAATACACAAGCGTATATGCAAACAATTTACACCAGTTCACAAAAAATATTAAAACATAAAAAAAAACACTATAAATTAAAATTTAAAACTCAAAAGTATGGTCTAAGACATCCTAGGATGCTTCTCTCATGCAGGTCATGGTTGAAAAATCAGGTCTTTGTTACCTTAGAATCTAAACTGTAAAATAACCATTTAAAATTTTTAGACACTAGCAGTACTAGTCAGAAAAAGAAAAAGAGCCTCCGTGCACAGACACGCTCTTGCACAGTTAAAACAGACCATTCCTGACATTTCCGTCACACACAGTACTAACGACCACATGCCTCTAGCCATTTGGAAGTAACTTTCTGACACGCTTTTGCTTTCACTAGCATTGCTTTACACACACTGCTCAGAAAACACTTTGCCAAGATACCGGACGCGTGGTTGACAGGGCTGGGAAGACACAGGAACTTTGCAGGTCCCTTTGTTGACTAAAGGGGTAAATTTCACATTTACATTGTCTGCATCTATGGCTGCTTCGAATGTGCTAACCTGCTCTCTACCCCGACTCACATGAATGGTCCCTCTTTACAGAATTAGTTGTAGAATTTTTCAACCTGACCCTAATGTTTAAAAATGCTGTCATCATACAAATGTGCCTATCCTTGGAACCATCCAGGGATTGCGTTTAAAAAGGAAACTGAACACAGTAAGCAAAAGGCTCAGATGAAATTCGGTCATAAAAAATGGCGCGTCTGGGGCTGTCGGCAAAGTCTCTGGCCGGACATCCAGGGAATATTTATTCCAATCACACCGCACTGTGGCATCAGGATTTTGCCAAAGAAAAACACCTGGGGATATGAATATGAAAATACTAGTAGAATGATGGGTTTAATGCATAAGGCAGCTCCATTTCCTGGATCATAATGCTCCATGTCAAAATTTGAAAGCAATCATCTCTGATTACTCTATTTGTGAACTAGACTGAGGTAACCTGGCTCACAGTGATTTGCCATCCAAGTTCTACCTACAATATTAGAAAGGGAAAGATACAGGCAAAGTTCTTCAAATTACAAACCCCGAAGTTAAGGCTGTATCTATACACAGGGAGCGAAACAACTCTAGATTTTATCTAAAGTTTGTGTTTCACACTCATACCAGTAATTTGAGTCATTATTCAAAATCAAAATATTTACCTGATATTTCTAAGCCATAGGACACTGATAAAGTAATTGCTTTGAGGCATCAACCTTGGTATTTATAAAATAGACTTCGGTTTCAGGAGTAAATGCGTGTGACGATAAACTCACAAGGATTAAGACTGGACAGGACTTCTTCAGCCACATCCTTCTGGACCCTCACATCCTTCTAAGTTCTTTTTCTTTTTAATGAAAAAACAAATACTGCTTTAGGAGAACAAATGGTGTGACACATTTCAGTAGGATTACAATTTACCATTATTGAGGGAAAAAACCTGCTACTAAAGCCAGCTGCATGTCCTTGTCACATCAGCTCCTCTTTCTAATGTCTGTGCTGCTGGTGGGAACTTGGGAACTTGTAGGGCTGAGTGAGCTCAAAGGGGCAATGGGTTGCCTACTTTATTAAGAGCTGGTTAAAGTAAAAACATGAAATCAGTGCTGTGTATTCACCAGAGCCCAAGCTCCGGCATACGGCACCCAACAGAAGTACCTCCAGGCCTCCTAACACGGTGACTGTGCTTTGCACATAAAAGCCTGAATTTCCACAGTATTTCGGGATTTCTACCATGGTCTTTACTGAATCCCTCGGATCAGTTCTGGGGGAACAAAAGAAAACTTTATTATAGAGTATGTTCACATATAAATGCATTCTTAAAACTTTATTTCTTTTTCTAAATATAAATCCTTAAAATGCAATCACATTTTTTTAAATTAAAAAAACTGGCATGACTCCTAATCTTTATACAAATTCACAGCAATAATAGCAGCATAAATTTAGCCTCTTAAAAGATTTCTTCCTTTGCTCTAAATAAAAGTTAATTCCAAGTTTTAAAAAGCCAGAGCAGTGACCACCCAGTAAATGGAATGTAAGTCCCTTAACGTCTTCTACAAACCGAGCATGTGAAACATGTGAATGTATAAAAATCAAGTATTATTAAAAGTCACGGAATGAAATGATTACATCTAAACTTGTTTTGTAAATACAGGACTGCCTTGCTAGGTAGTCTGGCACGTACGTTTTGCGGGGAGCTGAGAAAATGGAATGGGGTCGGGCTGGAGGTGTCTAGCCCAGCTCTCACAAGGAATGCAATTTTCAAAAGAAGTTCTGGGTCCTGAACATGGTTAACATGTCTACAGTTATCCAAACTATAGCCGAAATGCTGGTGAAGATGGCGACCAGAGTGGACTGGGGCCGCAGAGGTCCTGAGCCAACAGCGCGCTAACTCCTTAGCGCAGAAACAGCGGCTGCCCCCAATTCCAGCAGGTACAGCGGGGTTGTGCGCCGAGCGGTCATTGCAGTCTTACTAACAGGAGCTACGCAGCTGCTTTAGAATTCCCAGCAAACCTGTAGCCTGGTTTGGAAACAGAAGTTAGCATGTAGACCTGTAACCATGATAAACTATGTGTTCATCTTACCAAACCACGCTGGGTTTTCAATGAAAAAAGTTGCTTTAGGGAAAAGCATGGCGTGAAATGTTTTTTAGTAGGATTACAATTTACCAATTATTGAGAGAGGAAAAAAAATAAATGGAGGCAGGCAACACATTAAAAGCATTTATATAGTTTTCTGGTGCTAACAGTGCTCACTGACTTCCATCTGAGAAGCATCTTTAATTCTAATTTTTTTAACACTCTCTTCCAGCGGTCTGAGCCTGTTCACTGAACTGTGAGACAGCTATGAGAAGAACATGAAGAATATGCTCCAGCCTGGGACTAAATGGTTTGACATTCTATGATGACTCTTTATTAAATGCTTCGTCCTGATTCCTTTATGTTTTTAATTATAAATTTGCTAAATGCTCAACAGGCTTATCTGAAGAATCAGGGGGGAGTTTTTCTCTGTTCTAACTGAACACAAAAGACAGGGAGCGTGCCGTGAGGGACATGAGCGTCAGTGCCGGCAAGCGCCATGGCCACCGAGGGTGGGAGGGACGCAAAGGAAAACGCAAAAACCTCCCAGGAAATAGACACAAACTGCTTGGAACTGTACAGCAAATACAAAGAAGGACAAAGTCAAATTCAAATGCAGGTAAAGGCAGTCCTCAGGCTCTTACAAATTAGCTCTATATGGCAAGTATGCTCTGTGACACATTGTTTTACTACGTTTTCATCACAGTGCTTTACACTCATTCAGTTCTCGTTTAATGACAAAAATGAGTCTATAGATAAAGAGGTGGTAATGAAACAGCAAGGGAAAAAAGATAGTGATTTATTTTTCTTACTATTTTTTTTTTTAATGTGGTCAGGGGGTTTGTAGCTTTTTTCTTTTTCTTTCTTTTTTTTTTTTAAATCTTTTTGGTTACTGAAAAAAATAGAACAGTCCGCTGTCCAGCAGAGGCTGCTTCAACTCTATTGCTCTCGGGGCTCATTCCGCATGGACCTGGGTTTCCGGATGCTGCAGGGACAGCTCCGCGGGCAGGAAGGCCCCCTGCCCCAGAGCAGTGGCGTATGTCCTGTTCTGCGGGTGGGGAAAGCCGGAGGGCGCGTACGCCCCCACGGCTGCTCCTCCAAAGCCTCCGCGCTGGGGCTGAGGCGGAGAGTGGTAGCCCTCCAGGTTGTCATACTGGGACACGGCGGTCATGCCGCCCTGGCGCTTGCCGTGCGCCTGGTACTGGAACAGCGCACCGGGGTCCCTCTCCATGTTCTGGGTGTGATGCAGCTTCAGGCTATGACTCCTCTCTGGTTTAGGGGGTGGGACTGTGGACTGACTAAGGTGCTCCTCCTCCTTGTAGCAGTCTCTGGAGTGTTTGTCTGGGGCAGGAGGCTGCCTCGCCCGAGGCCTCTCCATCTCTTTGGAGAGCCTTACCTCTTTGTGGTTCAGTCTTAACGACTCCTGCCCTGCTGTGATGTACTTCCCTCCAGAGTTATGGTAGCTGACGGGCTCAGAAGCGTCTGGAATCCCTTTGGACCCATAATCCAACTGGCCAGCCCCCTGGGGGTAAGGGGGTCCATTTTTGGAATCACACAGTTGCCTATGGCTTGCTTCCTGGTGGGCCCTGTGCTCAGGGAGACTGCAGCCCATGTCGTGAAGCTTCCTGTTCCTGAGGCTGCTCTGCTTCTGCGGCAGGGACGGCCTCTCTGCCTGCCCGTTGCCGTGGCCTCCGGGGTGATGGGCTCTGTCGAACTCTGCCTCCGGGTGCTTCCTGTAGAAGCGGTCCCCTCCCTCGGGACTGAGGGCCTTGGCCGGGTGCCGCCCCTCCTTCCCCTCTGCCACGGAGAGGAGTCCAGTTTTCCCAGGATCGGATTTACTGCGCAGGTGGATGACGTAGATCCCCCCCAAGTCGTCCTGCATAGCCGGGGTCATGTTATCGTACTGGGACATAACAGGCCCTTTCACCTTCTGCCGGGCCCGGCTCTCTCTCCGGATGGACTGCATGCGGTATTTTTCCATGTCCTCAAAATCCCACGAGGAGTAGGTGTGCTTTACATCAGCGGGTGGAGGCATGTTGACCACATTATGGTCATTACCCGAGAAATAACCAGTCACGGTGGCCCGGGGCCGGGGAGGCAAACCAGCGTACCCGTACACGTTCTTCCCCTGCAGCCGAGGATTGTAGAAAGCGAAATCGCGGCCGGGCAGGCGGTGCAGGGGCCTCAGCTGGACGGTGCTGTAGGCATCCACGTCACACAGCGCCCCGTCGGGGCTGTAGTAGGAGCTGGAAGAACTGGAATAGGGGCTATACCGGTAGTGGACCCGACCGTTCTCGAAGTAAGGCTGGAGCTGAGTCACGTGGTAATCCGAGCGAGCCTGGGAGGACTGATATGGCTTATACTGGTACAGGGGTCTGGGGCAGTAGGCTGGTTCGTCATCCGGGGGCACTTCCGTCCGCGAAATGGGAACAGAGCGAATCATGGCGGCTGGAGGGGCGTGGAGAGACTGCACCCTCCGGATGGTCGGGTACGGGGGAATATCCTCAGGGTAGCAACCACTCCTGACAGACGAGCTCAAAGAAGACACGTACTCGACCCGGCTACACGGCTTGGGGTGGTGTCCCGATGCACTTCTTCCTGGGGCCACGTACGTGTTGTAACGAGGGCCCATGGAGGCGGGTGGCTCTGACCTGGAGCCATACACCAGGTGTGGCTCCACTTTATTGTGATGTGGAGGTACGCTCTGGGGGCGGTACTGGCAGTTTGGAGTCATATTGAAATGCAAACAGTTTTCTGGACCAAAAGGCTCAGTGGCGACATCAGGCCTGGCAAAGCTGGAGTAAGGAGCTTTCTGAGAAGCATGCTTAGGTTGTGGGACAGGGAGTGGCAAAGGCAAAGCGTCATCCACAGAGGCCGAGGAAGCAGCAACAAAGGGGTGATAACTGGAACTGCCGGTCACATCCACGCTGCTGGAGTGAATGGCGGCGGCAGCTTTGCTCTCCATCGTCCTGGTCGGGGGCAGCGGTGCAGGGAAGCCACAGGGCGCGTGCACCGGGACAGGCTCGGCGCGCAGGTGCAGCGGCGGGGCCCTGGGACCTTCCCGCAGCTTTTCGGGAAGGCCGGGCTGGAGAGCGGGAGCAGAGCCAGGACACTGAGTGGCGCTGCTGCCATCACCGACGAGGACAGGAGCAGGTTCGTCCATGGCTCTGGGTTCCGGTGGCCTCTCTGGAACCGGAGCTACTCCCTGAACCTATTGAAAAATTACAATAGTGTGAGTGTGTTTCCTGTGCTCCCCTGTGTGAGATCAAACACTATGACATTTGTAACTCACAAGTTGTGGCTATTTGGGTGGCAGTCTGAAATCTCCCAAGCCTTGTGGTCGCGTGGGACAGGACAGTAGGTCAAGCTGTCCCCAGCCAGGAAATGGCCTGAGTGCCTATATGGCGTAACAGCCACTACCATCTTGAGGACTGTTCTAATTTAGTAGGTTTCAAACGTGAGGAGGTTGCCTATGACATTACCTTCATGCGTAGGCCAAAACAGGGTTCATCAAATAACAGTCACACTTAAAAATCCACATGCAGCCTCTCTGTCCCACTCAGGCCTAACACCAGGAACACTTTGATAAACAAAGAGCCCGTTCTCCCTCTTTTTCAAAAGAGAGATTTTTGAAGTGGCTCACAGTGGCACAGTGAGCAGCAGTTTTAGCCCCCAAATCTAGGGAAAGGTAATAAAGTGACTTGTCTAAGGTGGCATTCAACTCAGTCATTGTCCCCTGCCATGCACTCCCCCCTGGTGTGTGGCAGCAGCAGCCAGGGTCTTCACAGCAACACTGCCATGCGCTGCCCTTGAGAGGCAGCTGCTAGAGAAACAGTGTCCTCCACTGCAGATGGGTACTGAAGTACTTTTAGCTCAAGGTGGCCACGAACAAACCTGGGGCACTTTAAAATATGAGAAAATGAGGAAGCAACCTTAGCACTCTGCATACAATACTCTCTCATCCAACATCCAAACAGGTGCTCCATGACAGAGCCTGCTGGCTAGCGTGGAGAAATAACAAAAAGTCCTATGACCTAACACTTACAACAAGCCTGCAGGCAGAGAGTCGTCCAAAAGTCTTGAGAATAAAGCACTTTTGTGAGGCAGAGGTGATGACTGGCAGACAGGACTTGCCCAAAGTCACAATGAGTCAGCGATGGGGCTGGGGAAAAAACCCAGCAACCCCGACACCGAGAGCCCAGCCTGACTCAGCTGGATGTTACGTCTCTGTACTGCCAGGGAGGAACCGCCTGGGTGCTTTAGGAAGGTAGCAGGGAGCAGATCTGGCTACACCACAGCCATTGCGTAACTTCTTTCGCAGAGGAAAACCTGCGTCAGGGAAAAACCTCCGTGGGAAAGGTTTCCGGAGAACCTGCCAGAGGACTTTGTCCAACTCAGAGGAAACGCACGATGCGGAAAAGGGACGTACCTTTAAAAAAAGTACATTTCATCTCACTGACCCTCTCCCCTCCTTACCTTGTGCGAATTATTTGGTCCTATGCTGGTGGCTGCTTGTACCTGCCCCACAGCTGGTAACTGCTCTGCTGCCCTTTGGGAAGGAGGCGGGGGAAGGGGACGGCTGGTTCTGTGAGGACGCTGAAGGGTGGCGGCAGCGAAATCCGCTGCGATGGGCTGTTCAGCCACATCCCAGTGCACTTCCCTGGCGCTGATTTCAGCTGTTGCTGGAGCAATTGTCATGTAAGCCAGGGTGGCTGTGTTGGTGTTCTCTTCAGGGGACCCAGAGGGAGGGTAGATTTTGTCCCGGGGCAAAGTAGAAGGTGTGGGAGTCTTGTCTGCAAGTTGTGAGGGGTGATGGGGCTTCTCCACACTGGCACCAAGATAAGAAGGAGGCTGGTCTCCACTGTAGAAATGAACTTGAGGTTGGTCCTGATCCGCAAAGGAGACAGTCGGCACAATGGTCTTCCCAGACTGGTCTTCGGGGAAAACGATGTGATCGTCAGACTTAGACTCTGTTAGGGGGACTGAAGTGACTCTGGCCTTTTCTGGGTCCCCAGGTAAATACGTTCGATGGGGCTGGAAGTCTGCCTGGTGGAGCTGCTCCCCAGATTCGGTCGCACTGGGGTGGGCACGATCCCGGACAGCCGCTGGGTCTGCGGTGAGCTGGTCACAGCTCCCAGCGGCGTTGTTCTGGAGGACAGATTGCTCTGCAGGCCTGTCCGCTGGGAAGTAGGCTTTATCTAGAGTAACATGAGAGTGGGAGCCAGGCAGCTTGTCTTCAGTTGCAGCCACCGCTACATCTCCGTAGTTTGTGGGGGCAGCCTGGGGGGCCCCTGGTCTCTTCAAGGGCTGGGTGGAGGCTTGCTGTGCAGACTCAGCTAGTGCTAGCGCCAACAGGCGGGCGACATTTTTCGGAGGCGGCGGTGGTGGGATAAGAGAGACTGAACTGACAGGGATGGAATCCTGAGGGGGGTCATGGGGAACTGCTCCTGGTGGGAAATTAGGAAAAAAAATGAGAGTGAAAAGGCAGCTTGCATTATCCTCTAGATGGAGAGCCAACACTCCCCGTCTGATCACTACAAAACAGGTGCCTTCCGTATTTCAGAATGGCAATCCACGGTCTTCCATCCCACATGCAAATGCTGAAGAAAACACATCTGGTTCAGAAGGAAAACTAAAACAAAAAGTGTTTAGGGACTGCAATCTCCTCTTGAATTGCTACAGAGACTGGGGCAAAAAAAAAAGCAGGTCCCTCATCTGGCTCAGAAAAGACTGCTTAGCAAACAAGCTTCAAGTGCTTGAGATGGTTTAGAATAGTTTTTACATGTGATGTGCAGGCTGGCTGATTAACATGTTAGGCTAAAATATAGGTATTTTATTAGAAGAGAAAACAGAATTAAGAGCTATGAAGTTGTGCAAAAAAAAAAAAAAAAAAAAAAATTCTGTCCAAAGAGATTAGGGAACTTTACGGAGCTGAGAGGCAGGACCACTGGCCCTTCGGGGGATTGTTGTTTGATTTTAATTTAAGGCTTCGAGCCATCAGCACCACCCGTTCTCTTTGATTAAAGGGCAGGCGCAGAGCGTACTTCCCTCTTACAAGGCACAGATGGCACACAGAACTGAAGATCCCTCTTAGCTTAAAGAAAGAACGGAGGAAAACAAACGGTACCTGTCTGAGCCTGTCCAGAAGGGACGGCCTTACTCTGCCCGCCAGAGGCGGGCGGCTCCTCCTCTGCCGGCGATTCTGCGTCGGCAGCAGCCACCTGCTCCGGGGGCTGGACTTCAGACTCGCGCCCTTCCTGGGCCTCTCTCTCGTCTGTCTTCATCTTCCCTGCCTGGGGAGGGGACCTACTTATGACAGCACTTGCGTCAACACCTGTGTTCCAGGTTGGAGAAGGCGCGGCCTGGGCTGCGGTAGCTGAGGCTGCGCCCATCACTTCTGACACCCGAGTGGGAAGAGTCACTGAGATTGGCTCAGAGATGTTCATAGAAGGCGATTTGCTTAATTTCCGTCCAATATTTGGAGAAAAAGCATAGACCACCTTTTCGGTGAATGAGGATGGCTTGGATGATTTCTCTTCACTTGGGCTCAAGTCCAGGGTGAAGAATGGACTCAGTTTCTCCTGAAGAGGAGACACGGGCTCCGAGCTTGCAGTGCTTCCTGGGGTCTGCGACTGGCTACCACCTGCCTCTGAATCCTTTTTATTTGTACTGGGCTTATCCTTGGAGCATCCTATGGAATCTAAGAAGGAAGTGCCGCTCTCCAGACATTCTGATTCAGCCTTAGGAGGACTGCACTGGAATGACATTGGATCAAAATCCAGGCTGGCTACTCCAATGTCCGGGGGGCTCAAATCCACATCCTCAGCGGAATGCGGAGACACCAGAGCTGGAATGTGAAGCAGCCCCACATCCTCCTCGCTTTCATTGTCGTGGGGCAGGTTATCATAGGAATTACAGCGGTTCCCCAGCATGTCCCCGTTGAAGGAGGCGCTCAGGGCATCGCTGCTGGATCTGGGTCTCCTCGGCCGGAACAGTTTGGAGTCACCTGGTAAGATGGACAATAATATCTGAGTGCGAATGTCACAGGAGCACAATGCCACAAGGCACCTCCTTAGCTAGCGCATGTGGGGGAAGACATGCTACTTCTCCTTTTCTTTCGGGTAATTATCTCCTGGGGCACACAGATGAAACACCCAGACCAGATGCTAAATAACAAACGCCTCTGATATGCTCAAAGCGAGAATGCAGCAGTCGGTGGTTTCAGCAGGGAAAGAAAGGGACTCAGAGCTCTTAGGTTCTATTCCTAGGCCAACACTGGCTCTTGTGACTTCAGGCACATTTTTAATTTCTTTTTGTCTTATTTTATCACAAACCTCACATATGACTTGTAAGGTGGAATGAATCACTTTAAATAGTACTTGAGAGAGACAGCAGCAAGAGCCTTTTTTGGTTTTGTTTTGGTTTTGGTGGGGAAAAATGTTTTCCTGACACCCAAATTTCTAAAAATAAATAAATAAATAAACTTCTCAATTAAAATATCTCTACAATCTCATAAAACATTAACACATATTTAGTAAGGGATTGCTTTCAGATACTTAAAAATAATTTTATTTTTTTCCCCCGTAAGAATAGGCTCTAAGTTTCTCAGGCAGAATCAGTCCTCAAAAGCGGTAGGGGACTTGTGAAATCACACAATTTTTTGACATTGCTAAATATCTACCTATCCACCTGATAGAAGTCCTCTCTCTCTGCATTCAATTACAACTATTATAATTGCCATAGTAAAAATGTACTACAAAGAGGCAGAGATTGTCTTAACATAAAACATTCACTAATGCACTGGCCACATGGAAAATTAATCCCTACTCAAATATTGTTTTCTGCTTAACAGTAGCATCTACCCAGCCCACTACCTAGTTTTGTGAAGCATTCTCACAACTGAAGTGAAATGGAAAATCTTGAAAAACCTGTAAGTGGTAGGTACCCAACTAAAGTGACTTGTGAGGATGTCCTGTCTCACAGGCACAGTCAACGAGGACGTGGCAGTGCGGACCGTCTGAAGACGAGAAAGCTGACCAGGATGATGGCATCCAGGACGCTTCAGGAGGGCATGATCTGAACATCTACAGATTGAGAAATGCCCTCGGGAAAGCAACGTAGCTCTTGGTTATCTTTGTAAAGGGGGCCTTCTTCACAATCCTGCTGCACAAGCCGAAAATGAGGTAAAGGATGTCCTACTTGCTAGTACATGGTTTGGTCAAAAAAGTTTTATTTCCTTCCCAGTAAACAGTGAAGTAGTTCTTTGTTCCTTCTAAAAATCAGTAAACAGTTGCAACAATAACCCGACTTTATTTGATAGACGCTAAAATTTATTTTCATAACTTTTTAGTTTTGTTTTTCAAGTTACAATCAAACATTTTTGCATTATTTAGAATAACATTTTGGTCCCCATTTTAAACAGATTCATTTCTCCTGGTACTAACTATGCTCAGATAATGAGGAAAGCCTATACTCAATCTGATCTATGCAATTTAATATTAGGTTAGCCATCTTCAAGACAAAAAACTGCTAGTCTGAATATCAAAACTGCTTGATTTTATACTTTGCAACACTGTACTCATTGTGAAATCTAAAGAAATACTAATAATACAATTTTTCACTGAGCATTAATAATTATATATGGTTAACTTTAACTGTGTCATCTCTTTTTATGTAAACTGAATAGCAATGAGGTCAAAAATAAAGAAATACAAGGCTGGTCTCACATTTAAACATCAATGGACAGTACAAAACAGATACTAGTGTTCCTAAGAAATGATGGCCTATAGCCTATTTATTAAGCATAAATTTATAAAATAAACTAACTTGTTACGTTCTTTCATGAAATATAGAATAAAATGATTGATGCTTTTAATCTTACCATCGCCTGCATGGAGAGAAGTAAGTGACTCTTCACTTTTAGCTGATCGGAGGGTTCCTTCTGCCCGGCCACCTTAAGAATCAAAACCAAACAGTGCAAAGTTTTATTCATTGTTACATATGTAGTAACAGGGAGCAGTGTTTTTCTCTACATGTACTTAAACTTCCAAGAGTGATTAGTTGTACACTGACAATCATATTCCATTTAGCATCCTGTTATATAACATATTGTTCTCAAATGGTTGCCTCTATGAAAAATCTTTTTCTTAAAGGATTATGAACTTGAGAAAAAAGATGAATTTTAAAATGTCTTCCTTTTATACTTCCTAATGACCAGTATGATGCCATACTGGATTCAGGGTAGGCCCTAAATCCAGTGAAGGGGGATGTGTCCCTTCAGGAAGAGAAGACACGGAGAGACGGAGGCAGTCTCTGCCACGTGAAGACCGAGGCAGAGACTGGAGTGATGCCACCACAAGCCAAGGGATGGCAAGGGGCACCAGGAGCTGGAAGAGGCAAGGATTCGTCCCTGCTGGCACCCTGACTGCGGACTTTTAGGCCTCCAGTGCTTTAAGGTAATCATTTTTTGCTGTTTTAAGCCACCCAATTTGTGGCAATTGGTTATAGCAGCCCTAGGAAACTACACAGGTACTATACACCTGTTGAATCTGATCTGTTAAACATGTCCACCCTCTTTCACCTTGACACAGTCAACACAGCCGACACTTTCTCTTCAAGCTCCTCCCCCACTATTTCGGGTGGTAGGACTCATCTCTTCTGTTCTCTGCCTACCTTTCTCGCCATTACTTCTCACTCTCCTCTCAGGACGACGCTGCCTTTTCCCGTCCTTTAAACACCGCTTTTCTCCAGGATTCAACCCCCAACCTGCTTCTCTCACTCAACAGGCTCTCTATGGGCCACAGCATCTATTTCTAGGATTCTATGTGGTTGCTGACGACTCCCAAGTCCGTATCTGGTGATGGCAGATGCCTTCACTGAGTTCCAGACCCACACTGCTAACCCGCCCCAGGCACGTCCGACTCACTACTGCACAGATAGACACAGTACTTTTCTTCCCTCCCTTATCATTTCACCAAAACCTGAAAATGTTCTTTGTTCCTCTTCTCCCCTCATCCTTCACAATCACTTGGTCACCCAGTACAGTAGAACCTGCTTCCTAAATGTCTGTCATATCTATTTCCCACTCCCAGTGCCACTGCTTATTCCAGACACTCGCCGTTTCTTGCTTGTATGACAGTAGCTGTCCCCTAACTTGCTGTCCCCTAACTTGCTGTCCAGTCTCCAGTCTTGATTCTCTCTCCAAATGTTCCTTACACTGCTGCTGGAGTCATCTTTCTTAAATCCAAATTTGATCATGTTACAATACTGAAGCCGTTCAATAACCACCCCCCTCCCCAAGAAATGCAGGACAAAACCAAAACTCTTTGGCAAGCATACAATGGTCTGAACCTCGTCTTGTACCACACTACGCAGCCAAGTTCTTTACAGTTCCCTGTTTCACACACAAGCAACACACTGCACTCCCACCTCCTGAGTGGGAATCCCTACTTAGTCTTCAAAACCCAAGCCAAAGGTTCTATTTTCTGACCACCAGCTCCTCTCCCGGCACGAACCGATAATTCCTACCATAACTATCTTTCACAAACCTTTATTTCAATAGCTATGCATGAAATTTATTTTCTTACACATACGGCTTCCCAGGTAAGACTATGAAGGCAGGAGCAGTGTCTCACCTTCCTGTCTGCGGAGGCTGCTCTCAGTAATCTCGCACGTGCTCAGGACGCTACTGCCAACTGCCTAAGTGCGGGATTAAGTGACCTGAACATTATTTCTAACGTTACCTGAGAAGAACGCATATGATCTTTCCAAGGTTTAGAAGCTGATAGTTATCAGTAGAACATGGGTTTTAAACTATTTTTAAAAGAGTGGTCTTTTCAATAAAAGTAATAGATTTATTTGACCCTCTAAGATACTTGCATCAATCAGTTCTCTAGTAAAAAGATAGATTCTTCTGGTAATAAAAGTTATAAACTTGAAAGGTATGTTGAACATGGTTTTGTCATTTTTTAAATATCTGTAAAAATACCAGTTAATAAATGCAAACACCACAGCAGTAATTTTTAATTACCTACTACCAACAATAAACAAAGTTGCAAATTTTTAACCATTCACAAAATATATACAGTTTCCCTAAGAAATTAGGTATCCTACATTATTTACATATAATTTATGCATTTGGGGATAAAAAAAGACAATTCACATGTAGCAACACAACTGTGGGTTGTCCCACGGAAGCACATCAGGACGACATACTGAGCACATGCCCCGAGTAGGAAGGGGCCGACGGGCCACCTGCGCCCCGGTGGCAGCTCAGGGGCGGCGGGAGGGCACTGACCTTTCAGGGCCATGGCTTTCATCTCGGAAGGCTCGCTCTCATTACGCTGCAACTTCCGCTTCGAAACAGATGACGATTTCCCCAGGTTGAAAAAGGAACGCCAGCTGCCCACAGGAGATTTTTTCATTTTATTTTGAGGCCGCCTCCTAGGAGAGAGAAAATAATTTGTACTAAGATATCCAAGGGGCTGGTTTTACTTAAAGAAAAGGAACAAATGATGGAAAGACCCAAACAGCCGGGAGAGACACGTCCACCATCCACATGGCGCCCTCTACACAGCGCAGCGAGACTGCACAGCGACAGCATGGAATGGAAGTGACCGCCTGGATTTTAGTCAGTAATTAGTTTCACAAAGATAATTTTTATACAGATTGTCATATTTAGATCTAACCTCACTATCTGGGAAATAAGTGAGAGTAACATATATTTGGGAATAGGAAATATTAAAACTCCAGAAACAGAGTTAAAGAAAATGATTTTAGTTGTGAATAAGACAAATTAAGCCAAAAATGAAAAGAATTAAGAATAGTAACTAACATATACTGAATGCCAGACACTGTGCTACCTCCCTTATATGTAGTTATCTCCCTTAAATTATCTACAATATGAGGCAGTCACTATCATCCTCCTTTTACAACTAAGGAAATTACAACATGAAAAAATTTAGGTAACTTCCTTAATGTTATAAAACCAGTGAATGATAGAGTCAGGGTTGGAGGCCAGGCCTATCCGTATCACAGTACCTACTCTCTTGATTACTACTCTCTAAAGAGATTTTTGAGAAAATTATGAAGCTAAAACATAAATTCAAGACACTGAAGACAAACTCAGAACGACAAAGTAAGAGTGTGTTCTAATTTTATGTTGTCAGGACATTTTTTAGTCATGGGAAGTGAAAGGAAGTTAAGAGAAGTATACTAAAAAAATGGAAAGAATAAATTCTCCATCAGGTTTTATTACTGCTACCCAATCCATGAAATTGAAATCCTGACTTTCATGTGTAATAGCCAAAGGAGTAACAGATGTACCAAAATTAATTTACATACATTAGTCTTCCTACAACATTTTAGTAAAAAAAACCCAAACAAACCCCAAAACAAAAAAACATGTCATTATCACTTCTTTAGAGAAACAGAGAACTTCAGAGCTGGAAGGGACTCGGGGCGGGTCACCCACAGTGGCTCTCACACCAGCACACACAGCGGGGCCCTCTGGGGGGCCGGGCAACAGACTCAGTGCTGGACCCGCGCCCCTAGCCCCCGAGTTTCTGATTCCATGGGTCCGGGTGGGGCCTGAGAATTAGCATTTCCGGCAACTTTCTGGTGCTGCGGGTGCTGCTACCGGGGAGCTCGCCCTGCGAGGGGCACTGGTCTATTCTAAACTTAACGCGGAACCAACGTCAAGTCATCATCCATTCATTACTTTCTGAATAAGCTATTCCCACACAGCTTATTTCTGAACAAATTTTAAAGCAACGTGTCTCAGAGAGAAAAATCACATCCTGTACAGTGGAAGTGTATCATTTTTCCTAACAATTTTCCCTATACACTTGATTTCCTTCTTGTTTAAAATGACGTGGTGTTGCAGTGCTTCTCAAATCATTTCTATCATTCCCTATGAAGTATCACCCACAGTCAAAAGACCAGGTTTTCCTGGGACTGGCCCAGAATCAATACAGTAATACTAAAATACAAAAGTAAAGTAAAATAAAAGAGAACACAGAGCCATGAAATCACATTCATGAAGATTTAATGAACTTTAATTTACCTTTCAAGTGGGAACTCGATGATGGTATGAAACTTCCCCTGAAGTGCAGCAGGTCCCTCTCCTACTTCGATGTATTTATTTTCTGTCACAATGGGAGAATTGACCTGAGCCTGTGTTCTCGCCTGGGCTTCCTCCAACGTCAGCAGCTTGGTGGATGGCGAGGAAACCAGCAGGGATTTGGGTCTTGACAGAGAGGCTTTGGAAAGAAAGAAATACAATAAAGACAGTCACGCCTTTCTGCATGGGAAAACGATACGTGTGAGTATGTGTATATCCATCTATTTATCTGTCTATCCATGTACCTATCTATGTCTTGTTTTAAGTTTTCTTCATTAAGTTTTTTGAATGGCAAACATAATACAGCTTTGTACTAAGTGAGGAACAGAAGGTGACGTGCCAGGTTGTTAACAATGACATACACACATACGTATTTAGAATTTTTAAGTAATTTAACTATTTTTCCTTTCCTAAGGCCTTGCCCAATATCACTCAAATATGTTTAGATTTGGAAGGAATTTTTCTGCTGCTGCTCCAAATTAGACCTTTATATAAACCAACAGGAAGTAACACAAGACTTTTTTTTAATGTATCATGAACTTAGATCACAAAATGTCTAATATATAGTTTTCACTAAGTACACACAAAATACCTTATATTGTGCATTTTGCGAAGTGGGCATAATTTGCCGCTTTCTACCAAAGACAGATTTATTTAACTAAGATAAGAAACGCAGTTTTCCATTCCTTGCAAAGCTTTGATATGTGTTCCTGGCAGTGAACAAAATCTGCGCGGGCCCCACCTGCTCCCTCCTGAATGGCTGCGCCGATTTTCCCACTGAAGAGGACGTCAACGTGATTGAGGATGAATTCAACCACCACAGACTGAATCCTCACTTCCATGAAGGCTGCAGTTCCGCTGAAGCAGGCAGACTCGATCTGTTTTGACCTGCGGAGTAAATACAGTTACCATCAGTGAAAAGCCACAGAGATGGCAGTCTTAAAGGGCTTTCTTTCTTTTTTTTTAAAACATGTCAATCACAGAGACACCAGAGGGAGAAAGTATACTTTCACAGTACCTTGGCTAAGTACCAATGGCCTCTTTTGGGAAGATGCTCATAAAACAACAGATTAATTTTACTTTTAAAAATTGTCCTTATGAAACACTGATGAATTAGGCTTTCATTTAAGATGATTGGCTCTACTTAAGGTCATATGTCAAATGCAACGTACCTGAGCAGGTTTGGAGCCCAGACAATTGCTAGGTTTTTTGCATGCATATTTGTGATGGAACAATAGTCAGCTAGAAGTGACAAGTGTCTCATCAGGAACTCCAGTGTTCTGGAAAATGAAATACAACATATTAAAAACAACAAGAAACCATTATGTGGCAGTGCGGAGCATAAAAGCTCCACTGTTAAGTTTTCAGTGCAAAATGGAAAAAGAGCCGTACAAACCCCAGCAAATGTTGTGCTGCTCATTGGGTTTGAATGTTATTACTACAGAACTGCCGGAAGATTTGCTCCTGGCTGTCAGAAATCTAGTTTCAAGATACCAGTGAAATGAATCCTCCAATCCAGTTTCTAGACAAATGACTCTGAAGTTATGCTAGTCTACTTGCAGCCGACATGCTAACAGGAAAGGATTTCAACTTTCCTTCTATAAAAGAAAACATTTCACAAGCCTGAAAAGAATTAAAATTAAAATTCCAGTAGGCACCAAGAGGAGAATATTTGAGCAAATATGTGCTTGTAAAATAGAAAGCCTACTCCAAATCCTCATTATCCTGGCCTAGCTTATACGTTCTAAGTTTGCTTTATTTAAACAATTTACATATATAAAAATTTCTATATTCTATATTATATAATCTATATATCTATATAATATGTAGATACAGTATATAATATATAGATATATCTACACATTATATATAATAAATATATAATTACAGATATATATTATAATCTATAACTATGTACCTATATATAACATATATAGACATATAAATAAATATATAGCTATATCTATATAGAAAGAGGGAAAGAGAGGGGTATGGACAGATATAAAATAAAAAGGCAGAGTAGTTTTGGAAATAAAGCATGACTGGCTTAAATGTAAGTTAAAACACATAAACACAAATAGGTATTACCTACCAGCCCCCACATCTCTCAAAGCGTTCCTGCCTAACTGTATAGGAATGAAAACTATTAAAGACAATGGATGGGAGACAGAAGTTTAAGACTATTACTTGAAACAGTAATGGAAGTTAATTTTTGGTAAACGTATGAGTCTCAAACGTCTAGATGAGCTTAACATGACTTTGAGAAGAAAAGGAAGGTAACGGCAGGATGTTTTGTTCAAGATGCCTTGACAGGGAACAAGTATCTCATGTAACTCTCACAAGGGCCCTCCCTAGCACAGTGTCACCGCCCCTCACTCATGGAGCGGTGAACCCCAGTTTGCCCACATTACACAGGCACGCGGTGCTGGGGGTCCATCAGGCTCAGCTCCTCCCCAAAGCCTTGGCTCATTCAACAGAACCTACGAAAGCCGCTGTATGGCAAAAACCAGAATTCTCTGTCCCTCTTGTACAGAAGTAAAGACAGACAGAGTGAAGCTGGCCTGGAGGCAACACAGAGGTGAGAGGCTTGAGAAATGTGTGTAGAAAACAATGTTAAAATTCCTTATTTGGAGGTGGGGGGGTGGTATATGAAGGAAAGAGAAGGTTAAAGTACTTCAGAAACATATTTTATGAGAAATGCAACAACCAAAGATAGCATTTTATTCACATTATCTAATTATAAAAATGCTTTTAAGAGCTAATGGAGAATTTTAATCAGAATCTCATAAATGAGCAATTTCATATGTAGCAGAGTGCAAACTGCATAAACCTTCATGGAATACAATTTGGAAATTGCTGTATGTTGAGAAGAAAATCTAACTTGTCTTTTGATTTGTAAGAATTCTGGTTAGATCTTTATCCTAATAAAAATAATCTAGGTTCCCAAAAAGATTCATGCAAATGTATGGTCCTCAAAGTCTTGTTTAAAACTGGACTGGGTTGTGTAAGAAAAACCCCACCTTACAGATTAAATAAGCACCTTCGGGGAAGGTGAAATAATGTGCGGCCTATCGACAGTAGAGAACACTGCTGAAAGCCAGGCTTCCCAAAAACATTCAAGGAACCAGGAATTGTGAATGTTAACATCTTTTAAAAATCTGGATCAAAAAAGATATATAAAGTAGGAGATACATCAATTATTTAAAAGCAGCTAGACTATAAAAGCGCATTACATAGCAGGAGATATGTAACAAGGAAGTATATATAATTATAGAGTGGAGTAGGAGATATGGAATATACTTGAAAAACAGGTGGGCATATCCAGTAGGTAATACACAGGGTCCAGCAGAGGCGGCACCTGCTTGAGTATGGTTGGGAGGGTAATAATATGGCTGTAATAATTTATAGTTTTAATTTGAACATTTCATCTAAAATGTCATATGATGTGCTTGAGTGTGATACTGCTTTGTGACAGAATTACATGTTTATGATTTTGTAATTAAAGACTGTGCAATAAAGAGGGAGGGTTATTTTGTGCCAGACCCTGCATATTAGGAGAGAGATATTAGGATATATGCACACATCTATCAGCAGGCTATAAAATATACAGTGTTTAAAGATATAAAGAATATGTGCAATATATATCGTTGAACATTCACTATGTGCAAAACTCTAGTCTCAGAATACAGTGATAAACGAGACAGAATTCAGGGCCTCAAGGAGTCTGTGTTTTGGAGGGGCATAAATGGGCAATGCAGTGTGTATAAAAACATGTAGTAGGATATATGCACAAATACAGCAGGAAAAGGCATGTGATGTTCAATAAAAGATTAAGTAGATAGCAAGGGAGCTATAGATGTAATTAGTAGGGGAAATGTCTACCTATTTTGAGAAATATCTGTATATAATAAAGGAGACTATATACTATAATAGGGAAAATGTAATTACAGTAGAATAGAATAACACTGTAGAAAGGTAATATATCTATCAATGTAGTAGAAGATATATGTGTGAGATATGCACTTATATTTGTAGGTATATGTGTGTATAATAAAACACATAGTAAATATATGGGCATATATAACAGGTAATAACTGATAATAATGGTAATTAATTCATATAAATAACACTTATTTAACAGGCCTCATTCTAAGTGCCTTTCCTTTAATATTCATAATGATCCTATGAGAAAAGTACTATTATTTTCATTTTACAGATAATGCAACTGAACCCAGAGACAAAAGAACTTGCTCAAGGTTGCAAGGTCATACAGCTAATAAATGCAGTTTGGCTCCAAAGTCTAGAAAGTCTATAATATATAGATATTATATATAGTAGGTGATATAAATGTACTACAAAGTATGGGATAAATAAATGAGATACAAATAAAGCATGGTGGGAGACTTACTTATATAAAATATATAGGAGATATACATACTTTACGATAAGAGAAATACATGTATATGTTTATATGCATGTATGACATATATGTACATACATTCTCTTTATTATATCTGTATATGTACACATAAAGACTTTATATATGTGATAGAGCCTCTTATTAATAATGTTTTCTTAATTGACCCACAAGCTTAACCAGTATTATTAATTCTTTCGGTAAAATGAACTGATTGGTGTCCAAGGCACAGTAAGCTTTTCTGGCGAATAGGTTTCTCTGTGGTATCCCTGAACACTTCAACTAACATTGCTTGAATTGTAAGCTCACCTAAAACCAGTTTTAAGTATTTCTGTAACTATTTATGTAAGGTTATTTTAATTCATAACTAAGTTAAATGCTATCAACATTTATAAAACACAAAAAAGTTTTGTTTCTTGCTTCTACGAAACCTCAGTTGAGTATTTTGCAAAGTCTTGATAAAGGTGAGCTGCCAAATGAGAATCAAATACTGTGATGAGCAGATAACAATTTAAACAAAACCAAACCTGTAACTGTCAATAATATTCTCATAGAGTGATAAGATAATATCCACGCTATAAGAATAGGCTACTATAAAGTAGGAACATTTGGAGAAACAAGAAAGGGAGAGAGGTATGGGTGAATGAGAGGAAGGAAGGAGGGAAGGAGGGAGCAAAGGAGGGAGGGAAGGTTAATTCCTGGAAATAAATGTATTTAAATCAAGAGATGTGTTGGAAGAAATCCATACCTGAAAACTGACAAAGAGAATGTAAGAAAATAAGAGTTAATTCAAGAGTTATGATTCCAGGAAAACAATAAAAAAGAACAGAGAAGTGGGATAGGGTTTAAATTGTAGTGAGAAGTTGTAATAATACAAGAAACTTTTTCAGAAGTTTTCAAAAAGAAAAGGCCCTTGTTGAGTGCTCAGAGCAAAGAATGAGAAAGAACCCATTCCAAGATGAGTCAATGTGAAAACTGATCACGAGGTATGTTCTAAATTTCAGCGAATCCAGAAAGGATATAAACAAAACAAAATGGTCCTACAAAAATTTGGCAAACTAGTTTAATCAGACTATGCTGCAGTGTTTTTGCTTAGATGGCAATGGCGTAATACCATCAAAACTGTGAGGAAAAAAAAACTTAGTGACTAAAATTCTATAGGCAACTATCTATCAAATGCAAGAGTAGAATAACAGTGTTTTCCTGTCAGAGTCTCAAGACATTTACTACCTCCCATACACCTTTTCTTGGAGAGCTACCGAAAGAGAACATTACAAAAGCAAGAAGTAAAAATAAGAAAAATGACAAGAGACCCAGGAAAGAAGGGATCTCACTCACGAGGGAGCAATGAAGGGAATTTGCAGGATGAGGGAGGGTGAAGGGCGGGCAGCTGCACTGCACATCTGGAAAGCAACCAGCCTGGACCGAGGAGTGGGGCAGAAGGCCCTCGGAGGGGTGTTTTCGTGGGAAAGAGAGAGAGCTGCTCGCTATGTCTGAACATGCTGAGAGAGCATTTACCATGCTGTTTAAGAATTTAGCGCATAAAGTAGTGACAGAAACTAACAAGCCAAAAATGGGCAATCACTCCGCAAAAACACACAAAGTCAGAGAGGAGATACAACTCTAGTATATGATTAGGTGCAGTTGTGAACAACTGTTACCTAGGGATGACAATCCAAGGGTCCCCAACCTGTGGCCCGTGGGCCACAGGCGGCCCAGGACGGCTGTGAAGGCAGCCCAACACAAAATCGTCAATTTACTTAAAACATTAGGAGATTGTTTTTGTGATTACATGTCACAATGTATTTACTGTGTGGCCCAAGACAACTCTTCTTCTCCCAGGGTGGCCCAGAGACGCCAAAGGGTTGGACACCCCTGACAGACAATGAACACCAACGTAACTCCGCATGCAGACGGAGCTACAGATGAAGAAAATGAGAGAAGGGCGGGCGTGTGTTTATGCGGTCCTGGAGGGGGACAGGCGCAGTTATAAGAAAGCTAAATATGCATTTACCATAAGAGATAAAATATAATATGGAACAAGGAAAAATCAAGAAATAAAAACGTAAGCATGGTATTTAGAAAGAGGAGTAACCTCTGGAGTTGAGCAGTGACTTCTGGAAAAGAGAAATCCGAAATGGGAAGGCGTGGAGCAGGAAACTGCTGTTCTTCACTGTCAGCTCTGAATACCACTGGACTTTCTAAAACTATGTACGTATATTTTATCAATCTTTTTTTTTTAATTTAGAGAAAAATTAATATTTACATAGTACCTTATGTAAAATTACCAAGACTTCTTGGCCTAAACCTAATCATCTGTCTCGCTATGCTTGATATTAAACATAAACAAACAAAGGGCCAGGCTCATTCACACATTTGATCTCATTTTCACATTAAAAAAATCCTCTTAAGAAGGTATCACTACGCGGTGGCCACTGCCGCCGCCTCCCTGGCTGCAGCTCCCAGTGTGCCCCGCACTCGCGGCTGCCCACCTGCCCCTCCTCTGTCTCCTCCCAGCGCCGCCAGCCGGGGCCCCGCCGGAGCCCCAGCTGCTGCTGCGACCGTCACTGGGGGCACTATGGCTTCTGGAGTTACAGGGAGCGATGAAGTCATCAAAGTGTTTAATGATATGAGAGTAAGGAAATCTTCTACACCAGGGAAGGTCAAAAAAAGAAAGCAAGTTCTCTTCTGTGTAAGTGATGACAAAACACACAATTGTAGAGGAAGCGCAGCAGATCTTCGTGGGTGACGGGTGATACTGCAAAGGATGTACACATCTTCTGAGAGGTGGCTAACACGCTCTGTATGATGCACATATAAAACAAAAGAGGCTAAGAAAGAAGACCCGGTATTTATATTCTGGGCTCCTGAAAGCGCACCTTTAAAAAGCAAGATGATTTATGCCAGCTCTAAAGATGCCATTGAAAAGAAATTTACAGGTATTAAACGTGAGTGGCAAGTAAATGGCTTCGATGACATAAAGTACCATTTGACACTTGGAGAGAAATTGGAGGCAACGTAATAGTTACACTTGAAAGAGAACCCTTATAAAATGACAGTCAAGTGCCATCTGGATCTTAAGGAGTTTTCATTTCTCCAGCTCAGTCAAATTGGTTTTTGGTTTTTTTCTCTTCCCACTGGGTCCTTCCAATACAACAAATGAAGGAGATATCATTCATACAAGCAGCCTGTCAACAACTATCTGTTTAATACTGTTACTTTGATGCAGAACCCAAGGAATGCTTTCCCGTGATATTTTAGCCAGAACAACTGGTAACATGCCTCCCTTGCAGCAAGCGCTAAGGTGAATGTGCTTGTCAGTGTGAATAGCTCAGAATGCTGCAAAGGGTAAGCTGATTGAATGGCTTGAAAGCATTATCCACTGGCCTGACAGGAAACTTTATTCAGTATTATTTGTAGTTGCATTTGATTGCAGGTCTGTAAGGCTCCACCACTCACACACCTCACGTGCCTTGACAAGCCTGTTTTTGTGATGTGGCAGCACAGATATAACACGGTGCATTAAAAGCACTTTTTTGTATTGAGTTGAACTCCTCACCCTCTAAAGGAATGCCAATCACGTTGTGTTAACTGTGTCATCAACTTATGCTACTACCTCAGTGTTCATTCCTGTGACCTGAATATCTTCTTAAAAGAACAAGCTGTTATTAATGCCTTTTTGTTTTCCATTGAGTGTACACTGCTGAATAAGTGCAGTTTTATGCTTACCATGTAAGTCTTATAACATTAAAGATATTTTATCAGTTATGATGGCAATTTCTATTTAAAAGAGTCTTAAATGGAACATTTTTGGGATCAAACTCCCCACCCTCACAAAATGGCCACGTTGCAATAAAAATTGTGGCGTATTATGGAAAAAATAAAAAGAAGGCATTATTAGTATTCTTTTCACAGATGTGAAGATTGATGCTTAGAATAGTCTTAGTAAGGGATGAAGTTGAAAATTCAAACTCAAGTTATCAAAGTCAACATTCTTTATATACTGCACAAGGTTTCTTTTTCTGGTAAGTTACAAATAACTGTATACTGATTATTTTGTCTCCTTAGCCTTCTTTCTCAGGCCAAATACCTCTATTTCTTGCACTGGCTTCACAAAAGCTCTTTTGAGGGTGTGTGCGTGTGTGTGTGTGTTTACACTTCATGGATCCTTAAGACCTCTTTAATTTCCTCAAAGAATGCATTGATAGGAAAATGCTAAGCTACCTTCTGGCTCCTGACTATGATAAACTGATAGCTAAAATGTTGACTAAAAAAATGTGGTTTTTAATGTTGATTAAAAATTTTAGTGTTGGTTTATTACCAAATTCAATGCTGCTTTTAAGTATGTATAAAAAAAGTCATTTTTTTCAAAATTAGCACTATGTTACTTAATTTGTGTATTATTAAAACATCTACTGAATTTAATTTCTTGTCAATAACTAAAATTTAAATTTTTTATTTTTACTTTTCCTTAATTTATGCTGTTTTCATTCATTCACCAATTTTGTTCTGGTCTTCCCAGGTATACGCAAAAACATTTGAGTGTCCAAACTGACATACAAATTAAATTTGAGTTTTAAAAAGTAGGAACAACAAAACCAATAAACGATAACAAAACCTAAAACAAACCAAAACAAAAAACAGGTTTGATGATTAGAGAGTGTCTCATGAAGAGGAATTCTGAGACAACTGTTAGAGTTTATCATTCTATTTGGTTTTGACACATTTTAAAAAACAGAAGAGGATTGGAGAAAAGGAAACAGGCACCTGGCAGCATGTCCACATTTTGGGCTCAGGAAATCACAAGAAAAGTATGCACACTTGTGGTCATACACCCCAGTACCTTCAGCAATATTTCTCAGTGTCTCAAAACACACATACAATGGACAGGCTTAGTCAACCATCCATTTATTCATCCACGCATTCGTTCATTCAACATTTTTTAAATGCCTGTTGGTTTTTTTTAAGTTGAGATTTTTTTTTAAATATTTTATTTATTTATTTTTAGAGAGAGGGGAAGGGAGGGAGAAAGAGGTGGAGAGAGTCATCGATGTGTAAGATTAACATGTGTCCTGACTGGGAATCAAACCAGTGACCTTTCAGTTCCCAGGCCAGCGCTCATTCACCAGCCAGGGCCTATTAAGTGCCTACTGGATGCCAAGCACTGCGCCAGGCCCTGAGGATACACAGACAAATATAAATGTATGGACAAACAAAAGTTTAAACAGTTGGAACTCCCAGAAAATTTCAATAGTTAGAAACCCAAAGAAAAACAGCACTTGTATACCTCAGCTCACTTCTACTTTTGGCTGGTACTTTACATGCGGTTTACCTGTAGTGTGGAGGTGGGAGTTGCTGGATGACATCATGAATTTTTATCAGCCGCTCTTCATCTGTTGCTGCTGAAACAGCATCCTGTAACCATGATAATACGAAATAAACCAGTGGGCTTTGTTGGTAAAAAGGGAAGTCTTCACTTACAAGTTAGTTTTCACTCTGAGAGACATCACTCCATCTACTCTTTGATGCTGAACAATGAGGAAACACCATATAGTACCAAGGAAGTAAACACTTTTCCACATTATGTGGACATTGAAATCTATTAAAAGATTAATTTTTTAAAAACTCTATGGTAACCCATAGTAACTGTCATAAGACTAGTGGCTCAAAGTCAGGAACTAAAAGAATGGACATGTGAAATCAGCAAAGACTAGGACCTATCTAGCAATGACCACTTTTTGTTTTTTGTTCCCTTCAAAAAAGCTATTTTAGTCCTAGAACTATTTCTTACATAACCAAAACAGTTTTTACACATTTTGAACAAAATTACAACAAAATTCCAAATAGGACTTGATTTAAAAGTGACTTGTACTCACGGAAAATTTCTCATAGAGCTGGTAGGTGAGCAGAGGGTTTGGGAGCTCACGAAAATAGAGCTTACAGAGGGAACCCACGGAATGGATGTCTTGAACATACGGTTCCTTTGTCAAGTCGGGGACATGTTCAGAGTCAAATTCATGGCTAGCAAAGTCAGCAGAGGGAAAAAGTTATTTTATTAAAGGAAAAGCAAGAATATGACTTCAAAACAGAAAGCAAAGGCCCAAAGTGTTAACCTCTACCTCAGTGAATTAAATATTTTTTCCAAAGGATTATATTTGGACTTCAGCAGTAATTGGATGTTTGATCATAAGAAGAGTGCTTTTGTATGTGAAAATTAAGGGCATAGCTTTAATATTAAAATGGATAGCAATCTCTGAAATGCATATGAATGAGCAGCTCTTACTGCATGGATCTGAAAATGGGACTCTTAATTCCTAATGGTTTGAATATCTGATACTTTGGCAATTAATAAAAATCAGGATTGAGTGGCAGCTGGCCCATGAAGAATCATGCACAGAAATCCCTCAGATACAAGAAGTATGGTTCAGGAATGATTTATTAAAGAGGGATAAGAAAGACAGAAATAATATACATTGATTCCCAGCTCTAACACCAAATTTTAATAGATGGTAAAATCTGTAGTATTCAAGTGAATGAAATAAAAGTTGTGCTCTGAATGCTAAGGCATATTAAGCTCACTCTTCGGGAGGTTAATTAATATTAATCTATAGGCATGAGACCTCTTAACCTAGAGGATTAGTGTATGTGGATTTATTACTGGATATGAGATTTGCTGTATATGAAAGTAAAGACTGAAAGGGTCTTTAGTACAAGAATCAATTTAAGTGTTTTCCAGTATGTATTCCTGAAAGTAGAGATGAGCTGTGAGGTCGACGAGAACATTCAAACCCCTATAGAGTACATGGCAGTCTGCAAGCACCAAAGCGAAAACTAAAGGAAAATAAAAGTCTATTAAGAATAGACTAGAATCTAAGAGATTGAGCATAACATTTCTGTTGCTGGCATAAAGGTTACCATTACTTTTGTCTTAGAAGATAATGAGAGAGGATGTAAAATATGTAACACATCCATACTTGAGCATATACTACAGAACCAGTATCAAAGGAGATTAGAAAATGTTTCCCTCATCAATTTTAATTAAGAACTAAAGACTATTCTATTACAATGTAAATTTTCATCTGTCATGTTGTCATGGGTTCAAGTTCTATTTGCTAAACTCTTCAAATGTTGCAAAGAGACAAAATACAAGTACTAAAGTGGATGAGGGGTGTAGTTTCCTGATACTATAAATGGCGTTTCGGAACATACACACAGAAAACAATACAGATGTTATTTCTTACTTTTTCTAAGCTCTCTTATTGAAAAGCATGGTTATCAATGAAAGGGATTTAATTTGAAATAATTTCATTTTAAAGAATTACAACAGGAATGAAAAAGAAAATGCCATATAAGGATTTACCGTAGTCTCTGGATGTTGGAGGCCACACCAGAGAGACGATATATTCCATCCACAATGCCATACCTCTCAATGAATGCTGTGCAGCTTTGAAGAACCTGGGGTACTAAAGAGAATTTTTAAAGACATGGATTAAACTGGGAGTATGCAGCTTCGCCAAAACATGAGAATATCTTCGTTCTCAAAAACAAAATAAAATTTGTGAGTTAAAGGTATAAGGGGTGGAGTTAATCTACCACAAAAACCGATGAGGGCATGTTTATTAAATTTCACATCTCAACCAGGTAACTGCTTCCTGAGTAATCAAAACCGGCTCTACCTTGTTACATTTAGGTAAGTGCAAGAGTTCATATATTATCAGGAATGGTCTCTGTAAGATCTTCTGCAGTAGATATTTACATCATGTTATAACAGTAAAGTGAACTGATTAGTCATAACACCATACCAGATAAAAATATATAGCTGCTCAGCTTAATTTCACATATAGCAAATGGATATAAAAAAGTTATATGCTTATCCCAACAAGATAACCGCCTGTAAGTGCTGCCATTTTTCACTGTTAAAAAAGTTTGTTTTATCTTTTCATAGTTAATGCTAATTCTAATTTTATCCAACAAACAAAATAGCAACATAACGCAAAGGTCACAGCAATTATCAAGTAAATAAAATCTTAATCTCGTAACTATCTTTATGTTATAATTACTGACTTTTTGACTTAATATTATCAGCTCATTATAAAGAGCACTCTAGTAACGAGTAGGTAGAAGGACCCTCGCTCTGGTTACCTCACTGAGTAATCTGACAAAAATGGCTGCTCTTCCGGGCCTGCAGTCTAGAAAAGAATGTCAAGGTATACGATAAAAAAAAATTTATAATCATTAAAAATGTTTAATAGCTGAAATATGACCTTTACTTGTTCTGCAACACAGACTGATAAATACTTAGTAACTGTTCATTTGACAGTATTAGTTAAAATCCCTGAAAAGAAGTGCTTGGACAAACATTATTTGGTCTGCAAAGAACTACTATACCTGGGATGAAACATAAAGAGTGGTGAGTATTCTAATGAGATAATTTTAGCTAATGCATCTCACATAGTATACAATAAGTCCTCACTTAATGTTGTTAAGAGGTTCTGCAACTTTAAGTAAAATGACATAATGAAACCGACTTTACCATTGCCTGACTGATACAAACAAGAGTTAGGTTCCTACAGCGGCACCTCACCAACATTACAACAAAATGATGTTATTCTAGGACTTGCTATATATATGTATCAGTCCTTTATTATTACCACAGACTTTTCCTTGGTTTTCCTGCTTTTTGTTGTTCTTCCTGCATTCTGTTTTAAATTGTCAGATCTTATAACTTACATTTAAAATTTAAACTCCTTAGCTTTGAATAATTTTTTTAGGCAGCTATACTATTGAACATGTAGTAAGTACCAGGCTCAGTGCTTGATAATCACATACCCTCACTAGTTGTCACAGAAATTCTACAGGAAAAATTCTGTCTTTTTCTCCAGGTCAGAGAGAGGAAACTGGGTCCTCTTCAACCCAGATGAAAAAGCCAGGTTTCGTTCTCGGGGCAGTGGCTCCCAGGCCAGGAGGACCTTGGTGAAATGCCACCTATTAGAATGTGCATCATGATTTTTGGCTAAGAAAATATGATTACCAAAAGGAGGTTATTTGGGCCTTGTTTTTTGTTTTTTTTTCAGTGTGCTCTTATTATAATACCCCTGTTTGTTTCAGCTATTGTAAAACAAATATTGTAAAAACAACAATTTTTTTAAAAAACTCCAAATAAAGAAATCCAGGATCCAGGATTTCCTCACCTTAAGTTTTAAAATATATTTACTATTTTGTATCAAATATAGTTTTATCTAGTTTCCTACAAAGTACTTGCTTTTTTTCAAAAAGAAATCTCATCGGAAATTTAATTTTCAGGAAATTCAGTTTCAAATTGTGCAACAAGTAAAACAAGTTCTAATAGAAAATCGATGACATCTGAAAACTCTGTGTTCCACTAGAATAAGTTTTACCATGGTTACAGAATGCATGAACACTGGAGTTATTAATTTTTTTTTTTAAATCTTGGCATCCATTGTCGCCTATTGAACTTACTAAGAATGGACACACACATCAGCAAACTGCCAAATACAACTAACTTGCTGAATTGATGTGTGAAAGCTAACAGGCATGGCAAACTCACTGGAAAACACTCCCTCATATTAATGATCATGTTCAAGCAAGGTTAAACCAAAAGAAATACAAAAGAAGAAAGACATACAAAAAGAAAAAGAAACAAAAAGCATTTGCCTCTGTAATTAAGAATGCCCAAGTAAACGACAAATTAGTCTGATCTATGCACAAAAACATACTGTGTGGAGATTTTTAAAAAAACTAAAAAACTCAGTTCTGTAAATAACTGTGATAGATAGACCTTTCATCAACTCAGTTACGAGCCCCGAGGTTTGTGGTAGCTGAACCTGGTGAGATCATCCTGAGTGGATTCTGGCACCGGGGTCACAAATAAAAGAGTTTTTAAAATGCCTTGCCAGGCTCCTGCATGAATTCATACAACACTCTGGGTAGAAGAAACAGGTCAGGTCTGCCTTCACTCCAGCAGAGAGGTGCTCGAAAGTCTAGAAAGTGTTACCCATATTCATTAGAAATAAGATTCAGAGAATGAGTCACAAAGCAAAACATTATACTGATATGGGCTTTCTTCTTAGAAAAATATGGTGCAAAATCTATTTTATATATTTATATTTTAAAGTCCCAACTAAAACAAGGTAACCATAAGGCAGAATGATTATACAGATTATATATCTAGCCATATTCTCCTCTCACAAATGTGTGTGTGTGTGTGTGTGTAAAACTGATGTATCATTTTTCCTCCTCAGGATTATTCTATTGGTTCTCACTTAGACTTTAAAATATTATATAGAATATACATTCAATTCTACGTGTTTTAATTTAGACTTTGAGAGAGCCTCTCTATATATATCTACATATACATACACACATATGGTATGACTGTAGTTATAGACTATATACAGTATTTATAAAGTATCACAATCTTTAAAAACTTCAATTTCTCACACATTCATTAAATCGAAGACAAACTAGTAAATCGGTTTAATATTAAAAACCATTTTCTTTCCTAATTAAAACTCTAGTTGATAAACTTAAAAGGTTTCCCTTTTTGTGTTAATTTGGTCTTTATTTGAATATTCAAATGATATCCTTCACATGAATATTTATTCTCCATTTTCACCATCTCCAAAGAGGAAATTATTTTAATATGCTAACTAGAATGTATCTGACCTCAGTCTTCAAGGTTTGTCACATGACGATTATACTCTAATGTCACAAATTAACTTTTTTTTCCTTTTTTTGTTTTTCTAATCACTTGAATAGACTCTCCTCGGGATCAGCCTTTAGCAGAGAGTTCTCTTCCAAGACTATAAATTCATTTCTAATATTCTTCTACTATTTTTTCTTCTTTTTAATTAAAAGCAGGAAAACACAGAAAAAAAAAAATCACAAAATTTCTGCATTAACACTCTACCATAATTATATTCATTTTATGTATCATCTAAGTATCCATACTTTTGAAAAGGTAAATTTAGTTACATTTTTCAAATTTCCACACTATATTCAAATTTACAATTTTAACAGTTTTATAATTTAAAGAACAATTACTCTGAAAGTGAGTATTCAATTTTTTTGCTTTCATACCTAATGCTATAATGAACATTTTTGTTTCTACTGAAATATAAACCTTAGGATAAATCCCTAAGGGGAATTGCTAAATGAACACTATAAAGCCTCTTGCTATAAAGTACCAAAATGTTTCCCAAAAAGCAAGTAATTCACGGAACTACCCAAAATCAACAATTTTTATCTATTGATAAAACTGCTGCTGTTCTTTAATAGTATTGGGTATTGTGAAAATTAGTAAACAAAGATCTCATTTAACAAAAGTCAGGAGCCTAGAAGAGAGAACTCTCACACATCTGTGCTTAACGCACACTACTGACCCAACAGGAGGAAACATACCTTGCATCTCCAAGACAAAGTGATGTTTTTTTGTTTTGTTTTTTTGGTCACAGGAAGTGATACTTTACTACCTCAGCAGGAGGAAGGGAAGACTCCTCCCTTCCCAGACAATGGGACACTGCCGTAAGTCAGCACATGCTAAGTCACTATGCTTCATACTTTTAGTTTCCTCCAGTGGACGCCAGGTTTACAACAGCCCCTCCCAAGTCCATAGAAAAAGCACTCTTCTCTCCTTTGTTCCGAATTGCAATTCTTTGTTGTTTCTGAATAAAGCTATTTTGCTGGAGAAATATGTAGCTGTCGATTTCATTATGATGAAGAGTATCATAATTTAGAAATGCAGCTTTATTATATTAATAATGTTTCTCAATATAAAATGGTGTCCCAAAATTACTTAAAGATACATTTCCATGATTACAACAAATGAGCCTACACACTTTGCTGTAATTTGTTTACTACCTAGCTCCTTGTGACAATTATGTTTTTATTTTTCTTCAGTCTTCTACTGAAGGGCTTAATTTTCTCACAAATGTGAATGATATTTTCATACACTATATTATAAGCATTTTATTATAGCCAAAAAAAGATGATTTTTCCTGCCTGTTGTATCTTTCCATTTGTTATTTTCATTACATGGAAATTACGTATTTGAGACTACCTGTTCCTTTATATTTTTTTAATATGAGAAAGTTAGCATCCCTCTTTGATCTCAAAACAAAATCATAACATATCAGCATTTCTACGAGCTTAAAACAGTTAACTCATTTATATATCTGGAATTTTCAGTGTGATAAAGTGAGAATTTTTTTTCAAAATTCCTATTTATCTCAAAATATATTTAATAAGTAACCCTTCCTCCTCATGATCTGTTTTTAAAACCATACTTTATATTGGTGGATTCTTATCTACAGTAAGGATTACTTCTGCACATTCCAACCTGTTTTATTCATACCTCATTCTCATTTTGAATAATTCTAGTTCTGAATAACGTTTTCAGTATCTAATAAAGGCGTATGTTTCATATCCTGTAACTGATTTTTTTCCCCCTACTACGCTCTTTGATATTCTCAGTGGCTTATTTTTCCACGTGTATTTAACTAGTTGCAAAAATAATTCTCAGGGTTTTTTGTCCTCCTTTTTTTGGTAACTGTAATATGTTCGCAATATTTTGGGAATAACACCTTTTATTGTTTTCTCTCAAGAAACATGGCATAATTTGCATTAAATTCATATTACAAGTACACTGGCTTTCTTTAAACAATGAGTACAGTCTTAATTTGAACTTGATTATTTATTGGTATTTATACTAGTTTTCATCAGTAGCCTTAAAAAGTACAATGGGTATTTTCCATCAGGATTCAGAATTCTACAAATCATCTATTTCTTGTACTTATCAACATTATAGGTACTTTGGATACTTCTTTAATATTCTAGCTTCTCTACAAGAACTGGTAGAGGAAAGGGCTATTTTTAAAAAATCAAAGGAAAATCTCATTTTTGCTTTCTTTCTATCCATTCATTCCTCTTCATCGATTCATCCAACCACTGAATTCTTGAGTCAGAATTCGATTTACAAAGAAAAGAATTAAAATTTTTGGCTATAAAACTTGGGAAACTAGTCTTGGTATTTTATAGCCTCAAAACTATGACTATATTTTTTAATGAAGGAACATTAAATAAATATTTTAGAATAAAATGTGAGAGGGGAAAGCTGGCTGAGAACGGTGTTGGGACATATATAAAAATAATGCAAACTGATAGTGCTATTGTACTCTTTATATAAATGACTTACCTTCCTCCACAGACCAGAAGTATCTCTGATGGCCAAAGCACATTATTAGACCTCTCTTTATTCTCAGCTATCCCCAGAACTAAGAGAAGGACCTGAGAATGCTCAACACACGCTGCTGAACTTAAATGAAACAGATATTATTTGCCTAATCTATGCCATGATTGGTTCTCAAAAATTAAAATGAAGAGGTTAGAAACTGAAATTATAAGGTTATAAATTTTAAATGTTATTTTTACCTTCAAAACCAGAATTCAGAAGGTGTTCCCCGAGGTCACAACCAAACACCCTCTCTTTCAAGATTCCCCGCTGCTTCAGCTTCTGTTTTGTTGGGCGAGACTTCATGAATGTGCGTAGGAAAGTAATGAGCTTGCCGTGCTTTTTAGACACTAAAAAAGAGTAATAATGGGAAAACATTTTAGTTGTAAGCAAGAGGCTATGTTTTTATGTAGTGTGAAAAGAAAGGGAGATCTCAACAGGCTGACTGCAAAAAAACCTATTAAATGTACACTTCATATTTCATAGGAAATTTTCAGCAGAAGTTTAGGAAACAGCTACTTTTAAATAACATCACAATTTTGCACTTCTTACCAGTAAGTGATCTTGAAGGGAGTGTGAGCAAATATAAGTATTGCCATCTGTGACTTCTAGATCAAGCCTGGTAAACCAGCCATTTTCCCAACGCACTCCTATGGGTGCTATGGGGTTATGACTGGTGCCTGAGTTTTACTCTAATGCACTACCTTTGGAGGTGTTCCTAATAAGTAAGACTGAATATGGTGTAAAATATGTGGCTTTCCTTTCTAGTTGATTTCTAAAATATTTTACTTGGTGGTTAGAAATTTTTATGGCACTTATAATCTGGAAAGTAAAACAACAACAACAAAAACCAACTCCCTCTTTTCATTTTATTATGGACAATCCCATTATGATACAGAGCATACTTGTCAAACGAATTATTGTGTAAATACAAAACAAAAAACCATTAGATCTTTATTAAGATTCAACTACAGTATACTAAATATCAATATATAACCTTAAATCTTTTGTAGATCAAGGCAAAAGATAGGTAAATTAATACATAGTAAAATATTTCCACTGACTGGTATATTAGAAAGATAGCAGTGAAAGAATTGAATGCAAACAAATCCCTAAGTGCAGCTTACAGGGTAAATTATTCTAAAACTCAACATACAAATATCCTAAGCCCAGAGCTTAGTTGCTGGACAGAAGGCTAAGCCGCATGGCCTTAATCCTGCCCCTCAGTTTGCAGATGATCACTGGGAGTGACTGAATCCTACGAAAGATTCCTGCCTGAACTCAAATCTTAAATCTCTTGAACTGATGAAGCCTCCTACAAAAATTCTGTCGCCAAGATTAACGTGTAGCCTAGACGGACCGGGTCAGACCAGATAGGGCATTTGCCATCAATACCTTTTCATTTTATGGGAAACGCTATTTCAGGCATAAGCATCTCTTTTATGAACTGTACAGGGGTAACTGACTGTATAACGGGCTTGTCCATAACTGAGAGGTTTCCTGAAACACGGGACTGTAACTGCTAAAACCAGGGAGGTCCTGGGCAAAGCGGGTCAAGGCAGTCACCCTGGACTATACACAGATTAAGTGGGAAACTTATTTTTTGTGTATCCATTATTAAAATACACTTACAATCATCAGTATAATTTTGATGCTCTCTCTGACATGCTCTGAGATTCTGGGTGAACTGCAGCCGCACTGGTATCAGGGGTTCCTTGCAATATGATTAAATGACGTGGCTCAGTTACCTGCTAGTGAGACACTCAGAGCCCACTGGGTGACTGCAGAAGTGTGTCCCAAGCAGCCTGTCGCTTCGTTAAAAGTTACTGGACTTGCAGGGCTTTTACTCTCCCCCAGTTCCTAGCGGAGTGTGTGTTATGAATCTTCGTTAAAAAGTGGCCATCGAACTATTTCTGTTCACTCTCATTGTCTACATAAACTTTAAAATGATTTTGACAAGATGTACAGAAAATGCAAGTGAGTTTGGTTTGTAATAAATTCAACTTAGATATATTTTAATATATTGACATTATAATTATATATTTGAAAGAATTTTAATTTCTACAGTATTTCCACCTGGAATCAGGGCATGTCATCATTTTTTTTAAACCTGTTATATTTCTCAGTAAAGTTTTCTCATTTTCTTTATAAACATATACATCGCACATATGTCTTGTTAGGGATATTACTAGGTATTTTACATTTTTTTAACTTGTAGAATACTCTTCTCCAATTATGATCTTAACTGGCAATTACTGGTATGCTAGAAAATAAGTTCTTTATGTATAGCTCACATCTAATTATTTACTAAACTCTCAGCAGTTTTAGAAGGATTTTAGTTGATCCTTTTGTATTTCATGGATCTATAATTGTGTCAAAGCAGAGATGAGATAAAGTATTTCTGATAGAAATAATTTGATTTTTTTAATTGTAATAATTGGCCAGAATTTCCAAGATCCATGTTAATGATAGGCATTCATATTTAGATGCCGAATTTGATGAAAATATCTGCTGAATTTGACACTGCATAAGATATATATGTGAGGAAGTGTTCTTTTAATCTCAGATTTTCAAGAATGTTGCAAAAGAATGGGAATTGAATTTTAACTATTATTCACTCAGCAACAAATACGCAAGTGCCCGCGATACCAGAAACTGTTCTAACTCCTGAGATCACAGTGGGGACAGAGAGACGGGGGCTCTGCCACCAAAGAGCTCACTGAGGGGAGCAGACAACAAGCGATTCAACAACAGTAAAATACTCAGCACTTATTTTACACGTACTAAGTGCTGGCAATTGCACAAGTGTGTATATTCATCAATCATTCATTTCTCAGAGACCCCTAAAAGGAAAACACTATCATTATCCCTGTATTTTGATGAAGAAGCTCAGCCGCAGAGTGCTAACTAACCTGTCCAAGGTCACAGAGCTAAGACTCAAAATCGGGTGGTCTAGCTCAAAACCCACGCTCCTGGCCACTATACAATAGTGCTCAAGTTCACACAGCAAGGCAATATCAGATTGCTTTTAACTTCTAGTAAGGAAACAGAGGAAGCGAAGTAATAGCGACAGGGGAAAGAAACTACATTGAATAGGGCGGTCAGGAAGATCGGAGGAAGTCACATCTGAACTGGCACATGGGAGTGTAGTTACCAGCAAAAAAGACAGTAGTATGAAATGACAGTAGTAGGTTGAAGGGGTATATATACAAAAGCCAGGTGCTAGAGGCCTAATATAGAGTTTGGATTTTATGTAATGAGAACACACTGACGGAACAGTTTAAACATTTTTTGGAAGGTTACTTTAAAAATAAACCAATATATGTGTTACAAACCCAAATGTGCATTAATAGGGAATTGGCTGAATAAACTATAATATACCTGATACAGAGGATATTACTGTTTGGCTTTTTAAAAAAGTACATTCTCTTCCTTACCAATATGAAGTAATGTTCAGAAAATATCAGTCAAAAAGGAAGGTAATATAAACTCTGAGTTGGAAATGTGAACACGAACTCAAAATTAAAATTAAAATACGGTCATATCAATGACAAACCGCATATACGATGGTGGTCCTGTAAGAAGGACCCCTCAAGAAAATTCACAGTAAAGGGGTTGGCAGAAGCTTTTGCAGACCTCAACAAGCTCCTTAAAGAGTTCGAGAACATGGCCCCTAACAACAAAAGGTTTCTATTGCTAGAGAGGAATGTTCATGGTACATTACCTGCTTACCTGCAATCTATGATGAAAAAACAAAAAACAAAAAAAACCACCAAACAAGCAAACCACCATGGTCATATCTCTTAAAAGAGTGACACCTCCTCAAGAAGAGCCTCAGGCAGGTCCTTAAGAAGCTATTTCAGAAAGTGGCACTGTTATCACAGATGGCAGCTCCATGCGTGCTACTGCCCCTGAAGACCTTCCAGTGGGACCGGATGTGGACGCGGAAGTCAGCGATATTCATGACCCTGGCGCTGTGTAAACCTAGGATAACGTGTGTGCTTGTCTTCGTTTTAACATTTAAAGAGTAAAAAAATAAATAAATAAAATATTTAAAAGTAGAAAAAGTTTATAGAATAAAGATGTAAGAAAATATTTTTGTACAGCTGTACAATATTGTGTGTATTTTTGGCTAAGTATTATTACGAAAACGTCAAAAAGTTAAAAAAATTACAAAATTCATAGGGGACTCCACGACGGTGGCAAAGTGGGTGGTAGTTACACTCACCTCCTCCCAGGACCACGGCAAAATTACAATTAAATTATAAAACAGTCAACCTGGATAACCATCCGAAGGCTAAGTGAACAGAAGTCTTATAACTAAGAATATACAGAAGAAGCCATGTTGAGACTGGTAGGCAGTGAAGAAGCGAACAGGGCAGGACTTGCACGCGCTGTGGCAGCTGAGAACCCGGAGGGATGTGGCAGCTGCAGATGTCTACCCTGAGGGGCACAGGGTCTCAATCTCACTCCGGGCTCCTCAGCCAGAAGCACCAGTACCAGGAGGAGGTGCCTGCCTAACATTGGGTGTGAAAATCAGTGGGGATTCTGCCTTCCTGGGTGAGAAGGGAGATTTTGCTGGACACCTAGGTGCCCTATTAAAAGGGCTGGCACGCAAACCCACGCTCAGTAGCACTTACCAAGGGTTCTACTTTCTGCAAGACCTGGAGTCATACAGAAAGAGATTGTGGTATGTGGCTGCAGGGAGAGGCTTGAGGGACAGCCGCCAATGTTCCTGTGCTGAGTCCCTATTTCACACTGCCCACAGATGCCATCTTTCCTGGGTTGGGCACTTCCCTCTGTATCGCATCAGCGTGGGGACAGGCACTAGCCCTACCTTCCCAACTCCCTGGGGTCCCACCAAGCCAAGGTCACAGCCTGCAAAGGAATCTGCTGGCTGCAGTCAACCTGGGCCTGTGCTGCTGTCTTCCTTTAAAAGCACTCAGAAAATCCAAGGAAGCTCAGAGGGTGTCAGAGACACACAGGGAAAGACTAGTTTTATGGCATTAGCCTGAGGTCCATGTTTTCCTGCCTGCCAGACAGGCACCACTACTCCTGTGCAGAGCGCGCCTTCCGCATCACCAAATCTTAATCTGTCTTAGTCCAATGAACTCTACTGGCTGCACCCTGACAGCTCCCGGAGCCCTGAGACTTTTGCTGAGTAGCCTCAGATCCAGCTCTGGCACCAAGTTTCTATCTGTGTTAACCTGGTGAAGACCTGCCACCCCTACCTGAAGAATCACTGAGAAACTGGCTCACACAACTTGTGAACCAAGAGAAGCTCCTTCAGCAGCTGAGCTTAACAGTCAGCCTGCAGGCGGAAGCTGATCTTATGGTGTCTTGGTCCTTT